ACTGATAAACCAAAACAGACGGTGAGTCGTTTTTGAGTGATTGGATGTTATTTCCATTTGTTACAGCAGTTTCATCTCGGATTTCATTTCTTTATCCTGTGGTATCAACAAAGTTGAAGTATAAGCTGTCCAATATTTCACTGACTTCCACTTGGGAACAATCTGATGTTAGGATTCAGTACAGAAACATTTAATATGAACTATTTTTACATAATTCTGCATTTTACCGACTTCTAGAGTGAAATGCATAAGCAAATTTAACAAGGTAGAAAAATAATTCAAGGGAACCTTTTTTAGAAGAAATCTTACAATATTAAATTACTTAATTAAAGGTTTTCCCAGTGACGTTTCTACACATCTCCTCAGCAATGTAAATGAACACTATCATAAGGAGTTTTCAAGGTGGAGGAGGAAGGAACTAGGTTTTGCTGACCGATGCTTCTCTAACTGCACAATCAAAGCAACACTGTAGTCCAAAACAGTCTTTAAAAGGTGAGAGGTCAGTTTATGAAGCTATAGTTGGCTGTTTATAAAGGTGGTGACAAAACAATTCAAATGTCACTTACTGTCACAGCACACTCACCAACATAGTTATAGTTCGCCATGCTATGACTCACTTTATGTACACTTGATGACCTAGCAATGTAGTTAATAGAGCTTTTAGTCACAATAGACTATTTCAAGTACCCTCAATACTTCAAAGCTCTTCTCTTCAGGAATTCACCTGGTCTTTTTATTGCAGATTTTCCCATTTTTCCAAACAGCCCACTGTGTCTAATCTGATCCCAAATATTCACCCACCAGACCTGCTCCACTTAATTAAAGTCAGTTATTTTACACACTGAAGTCCAGGAGTGGACCTACAGGGCAACAAATAAATAAATGTCTTTCCACCTCAGTTTGGTGTTAAATGCTGTCAAATTCAACACATTCATTTAGATGAAATAACTTCTTAAGTAACAGAAATGAAGAACTACAATTTAATGGTTTATTATGGACACAATTTAGATCAAGTGATTAAGTTTAGTTTAAATTCAGTGAAAAAAGACTTGGAAAATTGCCTTTAAGTTTTCAGGACTTGTCCTTTCAACAGAGGTACACTGCACTTTTACACTGCAGTGAGGAGACCAAAGTGCCATGAAGACTGTCAATGTGTGCACGTTTTATATATATATATATATATATATAACTAATAGTATAATGGTTTGTGTTCAAATATCTTCATTTGGGGGCTTTTCCAAGCAATTACTGATTGTTTGTGATTAAATCAGCATATTTCTACCACCCCTTAACGTTTGAAAAACAGAAATGATGAAGTCTTGGACATGTCCAGAACATATGTGATAGACTTGGAGGAGATTGCTTGCTTTTATCACAAGTAGGGTCCATTGGATCCAAAGCTGATCATCAATGTGTTTGTTTCTCAGCCAAAGACACTGAAACCGAAGAAGGTGCTCTTCAGGCAGAACTATATGACCTCTGTGCTGGCAGTGAGACAGAAGGCCTGGGTGGTTTTCTTCATCGGGACAGGAGATGGGCAGCTTATTAAGGTGTGTATAAAGTGATAGCCGTCTGTTATTGGAATATATGTATATATTTACTCAGAATCAGTAGCTTGTAAAATTGAATGGCATTTCTTTCCTAAGCAAGTGTTTATTTACTGTTGGGAGGGAAGATTCTCTAAAATGCTTCCATTACAACTTCATACCTTCATACTTCCTGTCACCCCCTTTGTTTATTCCTCTCTTCACACTGGTCCTTTTAAATTATGTCAAAGTATAGTCCTTAAACAAGAATGAACGAGAGAACGCCATAATCATCATCACACTCATTATATTACTCTTCATTCTTAATCTAATGTGAAAAATCACATGGTGGTAGGTTCACTGTAGTATGGGCATTTACAGGGTTGAGTGGAGCAAATCCAATATCGAAACATATTGGCAGAAAGACAATTATTGACCCCAATAACATACTCACACTCAGCCAACATCTGGCACAGTTTGCCAGAAGCAGGGCACCAATGCAGGCACTCTGAGAGGGAAGGTAGGGTTAAGCTTAATCTGCCACTGAGGCAAGATGCAAGTCAAACACAACAGACAACTGACAAAAACAGCTCCAGAAAACAGACAGTAGTGAGTCTGAGGCTGAATGAGACACTATAGGCATCACCATGTCACTTCTGCTTTAACATTTACCCTAAGTAGCACTCAATAGAGTTGCAATACATCCTGTGTGATGTTAAAGTGAGGCAATGCAGTGGACGTGACATGATGAAAATCAGCATACTTAATTTTTCCTCCATGCTGGCAATAGCCATGGGATTTTTCATATGTCCGTCCCATTCTTGTAAATCCCGTATCTCAGGAACATCTTGAGGGAATTTCTTCAAACTTGGCACTAACGTCCACTTGGACTCAAGGATGAACTGTAAAATTTGGTAGTCAAAGGTCAAGGTCACTATGATCCCCCATTGGCCATAACTCAAGAATTGCTGACCATTGGTGACCATTGGTGACACTTGTAACTCAAAGGTCAAACGTCAATGTGACCTCAAAAGGACATTGACAATTGGCCATAACTCAACAATTGAAGATGATCAATCAAGATGTTTAATGGGATACAATGAAGTAATGATATTTTTATCCAAATGGTCCAAGGTCAGCTGTTCACTGTGTTGATCATAATGTCCTGGTCATTTTTCAACCACATAAGATCTGCAGTGGTCGGACACTGAATTGACACTTTTGCCCATTGTGACCGCAAGAGATTAGCCATAATCTAAGAATTCAATTCAATTTCAATTCAATTAAATTTTATTTGTATAGCACCAATTCATAACAGAAATTATCTCAGGACACTTTTCAAATAAAGCCGGCCTAGACCGTATCCCTTATAACAATTATTTACAGAGACCCAACAGTTTCCACCATGAGCAAGCCATTTGCGACGGCGGCAAGGAAAACTTCCTTTTTAAGAGGCAGAAAACCTAGGACAGGATCCTTTGGCTTCCAGGTGGCGTGGCCCGTCTGGCCTTGACTAAGTTTGGGGTGAGAGAGAGGGAAGGAGAGACCGAGAGAGAGAGGAGAGAGAGAGACACACACACCAGAGAGAGAGAGAACTAAGGGTAACAAACCAGAAGGAAGAGGACAGAGGTCAACAGTCAGCACAACTACCACCAATTCATTGGGCAATGTTGACTGGTGACACAATAAGTAACAGCAATACTAGCACAGGTAACTAACTTTAATTTTCTCTACCCTCATCCCCCAATACTTACTGGCCCTCATTCCTGAATTTTGAACTTTGGGAGGCGTTTCTAGCTAATTGTAATGATTATTATGCATTAAGAAAGGCCCCTTTTAAACATCCTAAAATGGCGAGGAGAAAAACAAAATTGCCACCCATTTCTTGTAGTAGCCTATAAGCTGCCATGCTTTACCATAGAATTGCAAAAATACCATGGTAACTGTTAGGGCCAATAACCAAAACAAATCATATAGTTGATAATGGCAAAACAAAAAAAAAACACTTTAATCCTTTTTTTCAGTTGAGGTTTCAACAATATATTAGAGTCTGGACCAGACATGGATGTAAACCCCCTGCTAGCTTTACCTTGTTGGAAGGTGACATACAACCCACACACCAGAAATGTGCGGTGTGAGCTTTAGTGGCCTAATAGTAACAACACAGCATCCCCATTAAGGAGCTGAAAGGCTTTCAGTGCATTAAGTTTCTTCCTCAGCAACCTTTAACGGGTGGTGGTCATTATCAGTGGCTCGACTTCTAAGATATGCTCTGAACCAACCCAGACGTACCAAGAAAAATTTTAAACCTCTACCTCCATAAAAATTACCCAACAGCCCATTGATTGCAAGCTGCACATAATTTTCCCCA